GTCTAAGACTTGTGTTTTTCACGCCATCTGTGGGTCATTAGCGTTAAAATTGGAGAAACTAACTATTTCATTTTGACCCGGTCTAATATTCATCTCTTCTAATTGCATATCGTACACCTTGTGCTCCACAAATTTTGTAATAGATTTGATGGCTACGAAATTGTAATAGATTGTGCTATTTACTTGACAATTGCTGCTGGCAACAATTATTTTTAATTAGAATTTGTGCAAATTGGGAAAGGAATAACATTAACATTTCTGACTGAAAATTACGTATTTAACAGTGCGTGGCGGCTAAGACAACAAAAAATTCATCAACCAATTAATCCGGTAATAGTACTATACATTTTAAACTATTTGAAGAAATATAAGCAAATGCAACAAACGCAGTCAACAAATCCAATTGGCACTCTCTGTGGTGGACGCGTGTAGAGCGCCAATTTCTCTGTGTACTTTGTGTTGTGCTCCAGTTTATACATGGTTTTTGTTATTGTAAACTGGCTGCAAGCTACACTGCCTGCTGTGCCTTTTCTGCTGCTGCCTCTTCTTTTTGGGGGGATTATGTTGTTAGTGCATATGGTTGGGGACTCGTCAGCAAAAGAAATATAATTCAGTCTCTTCTTCGCTGCGTACGGTGCATTCTCGAAAAAATTTAGCTGCTGCGTATAAAGACAACATTGTAATTGTTTTTTTTTCTTACTTGCAGTCAAAAAAAGTACATATATTTTTATATATGCATACATTATTTGTCTGAATCGGCAAAGTGTGATCTTAAAATTAAAAGGAACAAAAAACAGACGGAACCCATCTCTTCCAGATATACATTTTGACTATAGAGAAAAGGAATATAGGAAATGCTACTCAACCGAAACAAGTAATAAGAAAAACCCCAAAAATATACATGTGACCTCCTTTAAAAATTATAATTAACATAAGTTGTCACCTAAATGTGCCAACAATTAGTATATAAGAACAAATTTATCTTGTTAATAACTAAGATGTGTTAATAATTTAGTAACATATGAATGTACATACATACATATGTACGTATTTATCTATGTAAGAGCCCCCGTATGTAGTTGGTCAGAGGCGCCAGCTCACCTCCTACATACGAGTACAACTCAACCAAAATCGTGTGATATATGAGTATAGATATGGATATGTACGTACATATGTACAGTATTGGTCATATCTATAGCACGCCATTTCAAAGTAATATTGTGTGCCACTTATGTTTATTTATTTATTTTTAAGAATTTTCAATTAAAATATAGTTCTTTCTCTAACAAAACCCATATAAACCCAAGTTTAACAATTTGTAGAATACTACAAAAAAGTGCAACAAATTTTCATATAAATTTCAAACTTTTTTCTCGGAAGTGTTAGAATTTTTTTGAATACACAGTTTTATAGCCCAATCAATTTTAGTCTGATAATGAGCAAGTTAAAGGTAACCGTATATTTTTTAGAATTTTTTTCGCCAAAGGTGTTGCGGTTTTCTTCCATATACAAATAAATTGAGTTTATTCATTATAGGAAGCCAATGGGACAAAAAAAATGCTAAAAAATTAACGGTAATTAGGAGCCACTTGAAATTTGCACATTATCAGACTAAAATTGCAGAGGCTAAAAAACTGTTAACTCAAAAAAATTCTAACACTTCCGAGAAAAAAGTTTGAAATTTAGGTGAAAAATTGTTGCACTTTTTTGAAGTTTTCTACAAATTTTTAAAATTGGGTATATATGGGGTTTGTCTGAGAATGAACTAAATTTTAATAGAAAATTCTTAACAATTAATAAATAAAAATAAGTGGCACACAATATCACTTTGAAATGGCGTGCTATAGATATGGCCGATACTGTACATACATGCATGTGTGGATACGTAAAAATACATGGGTATATGAAATTATGCATACCGTCGTTTAAAGTACAAAACCGCGTATCGTCGTTCTTCAAAACCGCGTAGAAGCATAAACAGACGGCAGCGTGGATCCGGATCAACTCGGGGGAATTAACTGCAGTTGATCCGGATTAAGTTCGAGTTAGTCCGGATCATCGCTGCCGTCTGTTTAAGCTTTAACTGACATTTGCAGCCAAAAATTGGATTTTCTCACACAGGCTCAGGGCTCCATCCTTATCCGCTCGTCCTAAAATCTACAGCCCTAAAAAATAATTTATGCAACCTCACGTACGCGGTTTTGCTTTTGTTGATACGCACTTTTGTACTTTAACCGACGATATATGTATGAAAGTACATATATGCATGCATTTATACATACACTTGCGTGCAACTAATTAACAACGACGACTACAAAAATAAAAAAAATCCGATTTTTGAGTTCATGCCTCGAGAATTTTAGTTTAACTTTGTAAGTAAATGGACATCTGGTAAACTAAACTGATCATGCTTACGCGTTTTAAAATGCTCCTTTAAAAATATGCCAATTTTGAAGCTTGATCCTCAGAAACACTCGAGCAGCTAATTAGCTTTTGACCATAGCTTTGTATCTACGTGGCTTCGTTACATATATAGTACAATTTTGCTCAAATATCCTCTATAGTGATATCCCAGTACTCTTTCAGGCGTATCACAGATTCCGAGTGAACTCCCGTACGAATTCGGGAGAAATGCTATCAGCAATTCCGACGCATTCATAGTTAGTGCTGCCTTTGGATTTTGTTTGTTTTTATGTTTTGGTTTAATGATTCTAAATCAAAATAAAATAAATCACAATAAAACAACTCGAAATCAATGATACCATTCTCACGAATTTCGAATTTGGGGGTGAATTTCGTGATCACGACGGAATTCATGATAGCGATTCCCCGACGTGACAACATCAGGATCTTCGTCGGAATTGATGATAGCCCTGCTTATTTTCATCAAAACATTATCTGAATTTTCGAACATTGCCAAGCCGAACTTTTTCTTTCAAGAGGGGCCACATATTTTAGATTGATTTCTGATGTAATGCCAATACGCACCTAAAACCATTGTTTTGCACTCCGACTACTGAGTTATGGTTATTATCCTCCTAGGAAATCCTGCCATATTAGCACCACTAACAGGTCTATTCTGCGCTGGTAATAAAGAGTTTGTAACCGGTAAATAAAGTTCCTGTCAATTTTTAAACCCTTTTCGCATTCTGTGTACTCTTGTAACCGGTAAATTTTGTTACCATCTCATAAGCTGGTAACAAATTATTGCCCCGTAAAATATGCAATGCCAGGATTTGCACAATTCTTCATAACTGAATTGCTGAATATTTTAACTGCATTACCAACGTACCTAGAATCACGGTGACAAGAACTGGTAACATTTTTTGGTAATACAATTTTCCGGTTACAAAATCTTCGGTAACGTGCAGAATAGACCTGTAAATAGTAAAAATATAATCATCCGTTACTGATACTTGCTTAAATTAGTCACAACCCTTTCCAGTTTGAAGATAGCCCCAATGGGTAATCATGACATCATGCCAAAGGATTGTGATGCCATCGGCACATAATTTTTATTATTGGTATAGTACAAAGTGTACACAGGCTATTGTATTACGGGTGGTGGCATATACTTTTTCTATATAATACAATCCTATTTAATTTTATGTAATTACAAAATAGTATAATTTCCCATTAACAGGTCTACTCTTCACGTTACCGAAGATTTTGTAACCGGAAAATTGTATTACCGAAAAAAGTTACCAGTTCTTGTCACCGCGATTCTAGGTACGTTAATGCAGTTAAAATATTCAGCAATTCAGCTATGAAGAATTGTTCAAATTCTGGCATTGCATATTTCACATTTGCACTTATGAGATGGTAACAAAATTTACCGGTTACAAGAGTACACAGAATGGGATATTTTTTTGAATGAAAACATCTATAATTCAAAAGTTACGCAACAAATTGATTTAAAAATTTTTCGAGGCTCCAAGTATACGTCTATGAATTATATCCAAAAGCAACCAGCTTGTTATAGTTTACAGCAATGAAAAAAAAGCTAAATAACGCAAAGATTACCTGTTTTTTAGATTTGCCCATATGCTGAAAATACAAAAATTCTAAAAATCAATATCCTTCTATAAAAATTTTAAATTCGTACCACAAAAAAACATTAAAACTTCACCAGAGTTTAGCGTGGGGACATGGTACTTAAAACTCTTCAGCCTCATTGCGCAAGTCATAAATTAGGCTAAATTGTACGCCTCGACAACATTGACATTAGCCCTGTTTGCGTACGCACTACCCAGCAAATCCAGTACTAATTTTACTGGATGTCGTTTTCGTACGCAAAAACTTGCAAGAAACTAGCAAAAGAGGGGAAATTGAGAGAGCAAAAATGGCAGCTGAACTTGCAAGTTTTACTGGATAAATTTTTACTAGCAACTATTTGCTAGCAAGAAAAACAGCTGATGGCATGATGCTTATTGTAAATCACATTAAGAAAATAATTGTTTGTGGTGCTTTTAGAGTTGCAATTGACAAAATAAACCTATTGAAATATATAATAAGATGGAAAATACTAGTTTTCTAAGAAAATTGCATCGGAAAATAACAAATTAATCAGCTGTTCATAAAACTAGCAACTTCTTGCTGGTTTTGCGTTTTCGTACTTTCTTGTATATTTCACTCATTGGGAGTAAATATTGGCTTACTCTCCGAAATTTGGTTACTGGCAAGTAACTGGATATTTTTTTGCTGGAGAATACGAAAACACAACTATTGTCTACGGCGAAAATCGTCGAAAACTATACAGTCCTGCCAAGTTTTTCCGTTTTAATACACTAGTCGAGTGGAAATTTTACGCAATGACGTGAAACTTTCGATACGATTCGACTCTCGAAAAACGACTTGCATTCGACATGACTCGCACAATGAGGGTGCTTGTTCAATAAGCACTGTGAATATCAAAATCTAGAGTTAAACTCTTGTCAATACTACGCACTGTGGCCCAAGTATTTTATATACAGGTTAATAGAAGTCACAAGGAGACGTCGTTAATTAATTGCACGCAACTGTATATATACATTAATGTTCGCATACATATATCGTTCCATACGTTGTGCAAGGCCTATCGGCCGGTCGACCAAAAGAGAATATGTACATAAGTTCATATGTAAGTACGTACGTACGTCGTTCATACGTAAACATATTTTTGCTTTCAACTTCTGTTCGCTCTTTCGTCATATCATTACTCCAAAGAATCACCCCGATAAATATTTTAAAGCAATAATGGTTTTTTTTATCATGTACATATGTTTGCTGTTTGTTTGTTCATTTGCCCCTTTGCTTTCAACAGTTGCTGTTCAATCGTACCGGTTCCGCTTCTGAACACTCAACCCAACCCCCCTTGCATGTACTATAATTGATAGGCATATTTGCTTGAGGATTTATAAATGTATACATGTGTATGTACGTATCGTCACCTGAAACGGAAAAAGACGTAACAACATCATAAATGAAATGGAAAACGTCGTGACTTATATTTCAATTTTTTTTTCGCAAAATTATGTGGGGAGTTTTAATTCGATGAAATCCATCATATATGTAAATCGGAAAGCGAATTTTGTTTTTTTTTTGCCTGGGCTTCTTAAGGAGCCCAAAATATCAGACCCATAACTTGTTGTTTTTTTTTTTACAATGTAATTTCTCCTTCGTTATAGGCTTTTGTTATATTTAAATATTATAAATATATTCCGATTCGTGCTGATTGCTAAGTATGTGGCAATATTTAATATATACAGCGGACTGTTACATTACAATTTTTGGAAGTACTTTTTAAAGCTGCTNTTTAAATATTATAAATATATTCCGATTCGTGCTGATTGCTAAGTATGTGGCAATATTTAAAGCGGACTGTTACATTACAATTTTTGGAAGTACTTTTTAAAGCTGCTTTATATTATCGAAAAAGTGTGCTCTCCTTATACAACTCAAGAACTACGTATTTATTGAACTGATAAAATAAGTTTTGA